AATAAGTCACCGTAGTGAAACAGGTGTCACCAAGCCCATACCGTACCTGAAGCACGTCAAACACCGTAGGACGTAGCCACTCCGTAACAAGCCTCATATCCGTACCGAACCAAACACCATGGTCGACCCAAGGTAGCACCTGCCCATGCGTCTCCCGCTCTCAGAACGTCCCAACAACGGTAGTGTTAGTAATCAAGCAAACCAGCGAAAGTGATGCAGGGAACCTCAGCCATCGGCAGTATTGAACACTGTTAAAATCCGGGGAAAATGTTCAATCCGGGGTTAGAGCTAACGGCGGGTAATCGAGGCGAAATTAGGCCAACCTCCTAATAATCATGGGTTCCCGTAAGATCCCCAAAATAAAATTCCGAGAAAGTTTAAATAAATGGCCGAATTCCTTTTGTTTCTTTTCTCTTCTACAATTTTTAATTTTTTTTTCTATGTTTTTAATTTCATTGCCGAGAACATAAAATAACAAGGGTATTCCCCCTCAAATTAAATGCCGTAAAAAATAAAGAAATTAAGGGATATTATGTTTTTCCCTTCTCCCCTACTGGTCGTAATCCCTCTTCCCCATCTTTAATTATGGTACTAAAATAGACAAAAATTTTAGGCCGCATTTCGGCCCTGGTCGTATGCCGCCAAAAAGGTGGCTGCGAGGTCAGTTCCCGCGATACCTCTCCGCGGCAGGCCAATCCGGGTCTACCCCTCTGAACGGCCGGAAAAGACGGTCCGTTGATGTGCCGAGCGCGACCACCCATCTTGCCATCTTTGAAGGTTACCCGTAAGGTTCAGCGCGCCCAAAATCAAGGGCGCCCTGAGCTCCCCTAATTTCCGCTGCCTGGTCTAACCAGAGTACCGTCAAAGCTCAGACTTGTCTTCGCGCCTAAGTCCCAAAACCGTAGATTTCAGGCGGCGCACTGCTTGTGGCCGCCTGACAACGCCGCAAGGCATTCGTCCGCTCGCGGACAAAGTACAAGCCATTCAAGATTGGTCGGACCTCGCGTGTACTATCGATGTCCGCTCCTTTCTTGGCTTAGCTTCATACTACATGCGCTTCGTCAAGAGCTTCCAACGGATCGCTGCACCATTATCGCGACTTCAGTCCCCCTTGGTGCCCTTCGAGTTCAACGACGAAGCCCGACACGCGCTCCATACACTGAAGACGGCTTTGCTTCAAGCTCCCGTCTTAAGCATCTATGACCCGACCTTGCAAGCCAAAGTGACTACGGATGCTTCCGGTTACAGCATTGGCGCGGTTTTGGAACAGCATGACGACACAGACTGGCATCCGGTTGAGTACTTCAGCCAAAAGGTGCCGCCCATCAATTCTCTTGATGATGCGAGGAAAAAGGAGTTGCTAGCTTTTGTCATCATACTTAAGCGTTGGCGTCACTTTCTCCTCGGGCGTCGGCGTTTCACGTGGACAGTGGACAACAATTCGCTGACTTATTACAAGACGCAAGACAAGGTGAGCAGCACGATCGGTCGCTGGATGTATTTCATCGACCAGTTCGACTTCACCTCCAAGCATATCATGGGCCCCTCGAACAAGGCGGTGGATGCTCTCTCGCGAAGACCCGATCTTTGCGCCTTGGTGCACTCCACATTCGGCCTCTACGAGGACCTGCAACAACATTTCATAAACGGCTACAAGTCGGATCCGGGATTCTCCACGCTCTACATGGACTTATCATCGGATCACCCGCCGGCAAGCAATTATCGCATTGTCGACGGCTACTTGCTTCTCCATTCGCGAGGCAAGGACTTGTTGTGTGTTCCCCAAGACAGCATCTTGCGCACTCGCCTCCTTGGCAAATACCACGATTTGCGGTTGGCAGGAAATCTTGGCGTCGCAAGCACATTAGCACGACTCCGCCAACAATTTCACTGGCCGGACATCATCAGCGACGTCAATCGGTACATTCGGTCATGTGCAGTTTGCCACCGGAACAAAGGGCGCCATCAGCTCCCGTACGGCGAACTGAAACCATTGTCGATTCCTCGGGAACCAGGTCTCTCCATTGCTATGGACGTGACCGGTCCTTTCCCCCACGATCGCCTTGGGCATGATGGTATTCTCACGGCCGTCGACCGTTTGAGCAAGTACCCTCGACGGCTCCCGAGCTCGCACGACTCTTGCACACCCGCTAGTTTTGCAGCCACGGCGTTCCGGAAGACATTGTCAGCGACCACGACACTGGTTTCATGTCGGCCTTTTGGACAGCAATCATGGTGGAATCCGGCACCAGCATGAAACCGAGTTCCACACGGCATCCTCAAACGGATGGGCAAACAGAACGTGCGCACCAGACTGCGCAGATGATGCTCCGGACACTCATCCGCCCGGATCAAAAGGACTGGGTTGACTGGCTCCCCGACAACGAGTTCGCCTACAACACTTCGGTGCACCAGGCGATCAACGTGACTCCATTCGAGTTGCATCACGATGGACGAAAAGGCCGCATCTTCGTAGACATTTTGCTTCCACGGGTTGCCGATATTGACACCGCTTGCTCCCCCGCTTCTACACGGAAGTACCGGGAACCGCTGGCCAAAGCCCGCGCAAATATGCAAAAGGCTCATGTCCGTATGCAGCAGCAAGCGAACCGGCGTCGCATCCCATGTCCAATCCGCGCCGGCGACCTTGTTTGGGTCACCTCCAAGGAATTCGCGCTCGAGCAGCACGTCTCACGCAAGCTCCTCCCTAAGTGGTTTGGTCCATGGAAGGTCACTTCAGCAGCTGGCGACGACCCTGTGGGTCCCTCTTTCATAATCGAGATTCCCCCACATTTGACGGTCCACCCAGTATTTCACGCTTCCGAGCTGGCGGTGTATACTCCACCCTCACCAACGGATTTCCTGGGCAGACGGTCACAAGAACCTCCATCAACGGATGGTCACCAGGAGGTCAATCGCGTCCTCGCTCATCACAAGCACGACAACAAGCCAATGCAGTACAAAGTTACATTCAAGCAATGCAATCCCGACGACACACGCTGGATTTCACGAGCTGATCTGAAGGCGACATCACCCCTCATCTTCGCGCATTACGAAAAACAGCGACTTGCTAAGTAAACTGCCCAACCCGCCCGCCCCGTATGGACATCGGACAGACAGCTTCGCCCTCGCAGTTAGCTCGGTCTTCAAGGGGGGGAGTGTATGGCATACTGATACCACAAGGGCCCCAGTTAGGCCCAGTTCTGTAGTAGGCACGGTTTAGGCCTAGTTACCGGGTCACGACGGTCCCAGTTAGGTCCAGGTAGGCCTAGGAATCGTCAGTTCAGTCCAGGGTCCGGTAGGCCTCGTTTAGACCTCACCTGACCCAAAAGCTAGTTAGGCCAGATACCAGTCCATCGGTAGGACTGGCCAGTGGTGCAGTTCCACTCTTCAGATTCAAAATCGGATCTGAACCGTTGGGCCTGATCAACGGTCCAGACCCAAAGGCCCTCAGAAGGACTGAGGCCGACCCAGCACTATATCAGCTGGGTACCAGCCTCAGCCGGTAGGTTGGTCGACAGTCAGTCTGGAGGTTAGGCTACGAGTTTGTCTACAAGATTAGTGCAGCGTGTCAGCGTTGGAGAGATTAGCGCAGCAGCAAGGAGGAACAGCGCAGCAGCGAGCTAGCGCAGCAAGCAGGAGCAGAGTCGGCCCTCTGGCCCAGCCCGCGGCCCATCACCCAATCCTGCAGCACCATCGCTGCACCGCCAGAGACCAGGGAGAAAAGACCCCCCTTTCCTCCCTCTCCCTCCTCCTCTGCTCTCGCTCTCTCTCTCCCTCTCTCGATTGCTCTCTTCCTACCTTCTGAATCTCCGACTACTCTCAGGTCGCTCCTACTGGACTACTACGACTATGGAGGATGGTTACGAGTTCTGATGACAGTTGAGATAGTAACATTGAGACATTGGTTGAGGACTACTTCCGGGATCCAACTTCGTCTACTTCTGGAGATGTATCTTGATATTGGGAGATCGACATCTGGGACACCGTGAGACTCTGTTTTCACGACATTTCGGATTTGCGTTACTTACGACTTTCGAGATACTATTTCTGGATTCGTGGTGTTGACGTCAACTTCCCTCTCCTCCTCCTTCGTCTCTCCTCTCCCTCCATTCATCCGTGTATGATCTCAAACCCTGGTCTTTCCTCCTGCGTCCAAGGCCAGGGCTTTCACACCACTGATGTATGTTGTGAGTGTTTCGTTACAGTCTAAGTTAGGTCTGAGTCAATCCATGTATCTCAAGTGTTCCGCTGTATCTGTATTTGTATTAACTCTGTATTATCTGGTCGGTTCTGGGAATCTGCGCCATACTTATGATTGTGTTTCACGAGTATGCAACACTAGGGGAGTTGAGGAAATAATCTGGTCCAAACTTTTGAGTCAGTTGATGTGCATACCGAAGAAACCCTCTCATGTGCTCAGTCTTCCAGCCATTCTGTGTTGTGTCCCACAGTTCTTTCATCCTTACAACCCCCCTTTTGACCCATAAAGACCAGGGTGGAGCAAAACTGTTAAAAACACCCAGGTTGTTATAGAGGTCGGATTTCAACTTGGCAGGTCCTTCAGAACACAGCCAATTGGTTATCCAAATGGATCGTCATGCTCCAGGCCTACCTCTATGGGATTCCATTTGTAAGCCTGAATAGATCCTATTACAAGTTGTGCCTACCTACCTACGCCTACTGAAAGTGATGCCTCTCGGGTGCGATTAGGACACCCAGTAATGCTGAGCACGACCAGTCAAGAGGGCGCGCCCGGAATCAAGTAGACTCTAGACTCTACAGGTACCGCCCCTGTTCCATCAACGAGACTCTGGGCAGCTCCCTACCATTTCTACTTGATGCCGAAAACAACCAGTCAGCAGGGCGCGCCTGGAATCGAGTCGACTCTAAACTCTACAGGTACCCCCCCTGTTCCATCAAGCAGACTATGGGCAGCGCACTATCATTTGCCCTTGATGTGATTCCCCTAAGGTAGTCTATCCTAGAGTTGACTCTAGACTCTACACGTACCCCCCCTGTTCCGTCAAGCAGACTATGGGCAGCTCACTATCATTTCTCCTTGATGCGATTTGCCTTCCTTCCCACTCTTTCCTCTGTCGTACCCCTAAGGTAGTCTATCCTAGAGTAGCTAACCATCCGGTTCCCATTTGGTACTTCCTCAGGACTGCCCTTGAAGCCCATCTCTTCAACCACCAGTAGGTTTACTACGTTCTTCCCCCGAATACAACACACGGTTATTATAGCTGTATTTAGACTGAAAGATACCCCAAATACAAATATAATGACCGTACGTTGTATTTGGGGGAAGAAGGTAGCCATTTTTCTCCGATGCAATCATGCTCGCACCACAAGTTTCGGGGGTCGGTCTACTGAAGCACAATGGCTGGTGGCACCATCCAAAAGAGGGCCCGTGTCGCCTCGTTTTTTTTGGCGTGCAGGCCATTTCCAGGCTTGGCAAGGGAAGTACTGGTGATGTCACTCACGTGCCCTTTCATTTACTCGTTTCTTCAGAGTTGTAAGGTTGAACCCAAAACTCCTGTAAACTATTGTGTTTTGTGCCATTCACCCCACATTCCGTTTCACCTCATCACTCCTCTTTCCTAAATACTGTGTATTTCGTTGTTGACCCTAGATTTCCCTTCCCTCCCTCCCCTCCCTCCCTGTGCTGGTCCTTCAACTCTTGCTTATGTTATGCTCCCCTCACCAGATTGTGATCAGTTCACTGCCAATTCAGCTGCGCCCTACTTAAAAACCACCACTGCTCCCAAATAAGACCAAGGCCTGTGGTGGTATACACGCTAGCCATGGGAAGGGTTGGCTTACAAGGCAGGGAGCTGCCCTCAAAGAAGAGTGCAAAACTTTGAGTACTCCGAGTTTGATGATATTTCATGCTTATCTGGCATGGTGAAAATTTCTTTAAAGCCTGAGAGACGGGTACCACACCCAACCAAGGAAGGCAAAAGGCGCATAAAATACCCAATCCTAACATAGGGAGGTAGCGACGACAAATAACAATATCAAGCGCTTTTCACCCATTGAAATCTGGCCGAATCCAGGCTCTTTTGCCTTTTTCTGGTGGATGACAAAGGGGTCGGGGCGGGGGGAGGGAGGAGGAAGGCAGATGCCAAGAGGGAGGAGGCAGGCATCAAGGAGGTAGATCACCATGGAGGGAGATGGCAGGAGGTAGACGGTGATGGAGGGAGATGGAAGGTAGATGGTGGAAGAGAGGAGGGAGATGGCAGGAGGAAGGAGGGAGAGGGTAGGAGGAAGGAGGGAGATGGTGAGAGGCAGATGGTGAAGAAGGAGATGGCGAGAAGTCAATGGTGGGAGGGAAGACGGAGATGGTTGAACACACAACGACAATTTTACTGGCGCATATGGGTTAGGTGCTCCAGGGTCAGGAAAACTAGTAGGTTGAAGGTTCACCAAAATAGAGTTGGGGCCAATGGTGGTTCAAACCACCGGTATGTTTCCCGGGCTTCATGCACGCCACAACTTTCGGGCATTCATTGCCGAAGCAAAATGGCTGGTCGTGACAGCCAAAAGGTGGCCAGCGCCGGTTTCATTTCTTTTGGCGCAGAGGGCGTTTCGAGCCCCGGAACAGAGTGCCTATAACGTATCTGCAGCAAAAGTCGCCAAAAATCTGAGCCACTGAATAGAAGCAGGACGGCCAGTGGCCCTATGGGCTTAGTTGCACTACTCACTATCCACCACAATCCGTGGCGGAAGGGTGGCGGGTAAAAAAACGGAAACTTGCACCAAGGACTCCTAGCTGCACCTACTCGCCATGGCTTGCATTCAGCAAAAAAGTTACAAGAGGGTTGTCCGTGAGATCTCCAGCCGTGAAGCTGGAATACTCGCCAGAAAGTCATTTTGTGGAGAGGTCCTCTGGACCACCCTCCACAAACGGGCTTTCATAGGCGGGGAAAAGTAAAACACTTGTGATACATGCCCAGTTGGGCAATGTATGTACAGCCAAGGATACGCAAGGTGATGAAAAGGACTGAATGGACAATGCAGTGTTAGTGGAACCTCAACATGCAGTGTACATCCTGATACATACAAAATGGCACTTTGTAGCGCAGTGGAAGACTTGGATACAAGTCCTGACTTGACCGGGACTGACACGGCATCCCATTATACATCACCGATGTGAGAGGAGGAGGAGATACCAAAGTGTTGCATACCATAATGGTGCAAACCAGAACGAGGACCGACCTCCCTCACATAGTACAAGACAGCGCAGTGGAATGCTAGGATACCAATGATCAACCCAATCTATATCGCAATGCAGACCCAACATACATTAACATCGTTGCAAGGTGTGAAGGGCCTGGTGCTACACACAGGAAGAATGCGCCAGGTCCAGACCATACACAGACGAAGAGGAGGGGATCAGATGAAGAAGAGGGGGAAGATGGGAATGTCCTCAACACCGAGTCTTCGGTACAGGTCCCAAATAATCCCTCGTTCACTGTCTCAATCCCAATGTCGAGTGTGAATCCAAATGTCACCAAGTCCCAAAGTCACCAATCTCTCTCCCTCTCGTAGTCTGCAGATACTGAGAAGTCAGGTAGCGAGAGGGTGAGGGAGAGATGGTGGACT